TGCAGGTTTCTCAGGAGAGGTGCAAGAGGATCCTCCATAGTCATGTCCTGTGCACACTTCCCCAGCTGCATGCACCTGCTGGAGGCATCCTGACTTGAGCTATGTTTTGCTGACTACCCTGTCTCTATAACTCTCCCCTTCCCCCATCTTTCCTAGTTTAAAGCCCTCCTTACCAGGCTAGCGAACCTGTTGGCAAAGAAAGACACAGGTACCCCACTTAGTGAGGTGAATCCCATCCCTCCCCATCAGCTGTCAATCTTCAAACAGGGCCCCATGGTCATAGAAACCAAAACCCTGTTGCCAATCCCAGTGGTGCAGCCAGTTGTTAACTTGGAAAATCCATCTGCTCCTCCTCCCATCCTTCCTCTTCACAGGCAGGACTGAGGATGAAATGACCTGGGCTCCCAGACCCTATGACCATCATCCGCAGAGCTCTGAAATCCTGTTTGATGGTATCCAATTTGCCCTTGGTGTCATTAGTGCCCACATGGAAGAGCAGCAGAGGATAGTAGTCTGATGCATGGAGAAGCCTTGGCAGCCTTTCCATGACATCTTGTATTTGAGTCCCTGGCAGGCAGCAAACCTCTCTGGACAAGAGGTCAGGTTGACAGATAGATGCCTCTGTCCCCTGCAGCAGGGAGTCACCTATAACATCACCCAATCACCAGTGACAGAAGAAAACCCCTTGAGGTACTGAAGAAAGAAGCAATAAAAAAATTCTGTTCATTCTCTGTAGCTAGAGAGCTCGGAGCTGAGACATTGCCCTATGGATGTGAAAGGGTCTTTCAGCACAGGCTCCTCTGGTGACTCCAGGACAAGGCACGTGGCTGGAAAACCTCCAAATCCACTAAAGGGACCCACTTTTGAAATGGACATCTATGACTGGTGAGCCTTTTCTTACTTTTTACTCTCAAGAGATGGACAGATTGTTCCAAATCTGAGAGCAGACTTCTGACCTGTGGCCCATATATGCCATTTTGGGGGCACAGTTATCTTTTTTTCAGGAATAAAAGCCCACTAATTGATGAAAATTGAACTTTTAATCTCCCTCAGTGCTGCAGCTTTATCATGCACAGAACTGTAATCCCACACATCACTTTAGAAATACCATCATTAAGGATCTGAGTATACTTTTGGAGATAAGATTAGCTCATGATAATATTACTGACTCTGTAATTATGGAAATAAAACAATCCCTTCAGGCTTTGTTGTAATGACTTCTGAACATCTTGCATCATCATAGGCAGACAGCAGGCTTCAGGATGCCATGCATTATTGAAAGGAATGTGGAAAATCTTGTTGTGGTTGGTGTTGATGTCTCTAGTAAGGAAGGACACCCTGTATCTTCACAGTGAAACTGGATCAGATAGAAAATCATGTGATCTTTTTGAAAATAAATAGCTAATCGTCCCTTGATCTCTTGTAGTCCTGTCTTTTGATGCATCAGTAGAATGCATTCCTGACGGCTACCCTTACTCAGTCCTCTCACGCTGTGGCCTTGAGGGATCTTGACCGCAAAGTCTATGCCTTTGTTCTGAATGAAAAGACAATGTGAGACCATTGCAGACCTGGCTGCACTGTGCAGGTAGCTTCATTGGAGCATATTTTTTCCTGGAATATTATTATTATACTGATGCGAGAAGAGCTGCTGTAGCAATGAGCTTGGCTGAATGTATTCTTTGATCAGCAGCTGGGTGTATGATGTGTACGTTGGACTCCCAGCATGAAGAAATCAATAGGAAGAACCTCAGATCAATGTTAAAGTATTATAACCTACTCACTTCACTAAAATTAGTGGAAATGTAAATGAAAGCACACCAGTGCACTTCCCGAGGAATATGTTCTGTAATTTTGCCTTATATTAGAGCTGAGAGGGAACATGCGATACTCACCGTTTCCAAAAAGATACTGCAAAGGTAGAATTCTTTCTGTAAGTCCACTTTGCTCTATTTCTTTTAATGAAACTTTTTTAATATCAATAGAGAAGGTAGAATTTTGGACAAGACCTCTACTACTAATCTTCCAACCAGGATTTCACAAAACTACTTAAATAATGGCATACAAGAATCAAGCCTCCCTCTGTAGCTACGCTGCTTATTTCTTTCCTGGAAGACTCCTGAATGTAATAGTAAGCACAGGAAAGTGAGGGATTTGGAGCAAGGAAGTCAGCTGTGGGACCATATAATCTTCATGTCTCCAGAGCAAGAATTTAATTTCATTTCAATCACATGAAAGAATTATGACAAGGCTTCCTTAGCAGAAATTCTTCTAGAGGACACAGTTGCACGGTGTTTGGTCTGACAAATCCATGCTGTCTTAGCCTGTAAGCAAAAACTGCCATGGTGCACTTGACAGTCTTCTGATACTCTTCACTGATAGGCTACATCACTTCATGACTTGATGGGATTTGTGACTGCAAGAGGACTCCTCAAGGCTTTGGAGTTTCCTGATACTCATCACCTGTGCTTCTCCCCTGCTCTTTTTCTTTCCCTGCACATTCAGTGACCTAGACCTAGTGCTGTTACTACCTGCACAGTGGATGGTGAGGCCTGAAAAAAAATCAATTAGTAGGAGTCAATGCTTGTCTTGAGAAATCATAGCTTGCTGCTGAATGTTTGCTGCTAGCACATCTTTAGTAGAGGGGCGCTCAAATGCTGGTGACATGCAAATATATTAATATGCAGTCTGTTCACTGTGCAAAAACATCTCCACTCAGAAGAAGGGGCAGGTAATACTCCCAGATGGCTGCATCACTGCTGTTCCTGGACATTTTTAACCCTGGGCAATCAGAAAGGTTTCTGCTAGATGGCAACCTATAGCTTCTATAGCTGTGAGTATGGAGCGGATTTGCTTGACTGTGTTAAGTAAGGCCGAGCTAGGTTGCTTTTATTTTTTTACCATTAGTCTCATCATACGGTGTGAAAGTGGGTGTCTCCTGCCCACCTGCTTCCTTCCTCACTGCAATTTGTACAGGCCACACCCTTATCTCTCCATCGTTGCAATAGTGATGGCTGCCTTCACGTATTGCAGGTGCTGTCTGAACATGTTATGCCACACGGCAGTGTTCACAATGGCCAGCCGTAAAGTGGGTGGCTGGCCAGCATTGCTGGATTTTCAGACCCTTAAAGACTCAGGCTGTGGCCTCCCTGAAGACTTCCTGGGGGAGCTTTGGCTTGTATTTAAAAAAAAAAATCACAGACAGAGGCACACACCCTTGCACACATTCTCTTTTTCTAAAGTGACCACAGTGGCCCTCGTTATCCTTTCCTCCCACCCAGTCATCCCTTCTAACACTCTGTAGCTGACACCGTTCATATTTCATTTAACTGAGTTTTCTGAGAGGGGGTAATTAGTGTATTCTCTAGGCTCTTTAGTAGGTGTTCCTGTATGTTCAGTGCCTTAACACTACTATTAAGACTCATTAGCAAGTAAAATACTGTTGCATTCAGTGGTCCACAAGATAGTGACTACGCATACCAGTGACACAAATACCTGCAGTGTACCAGAAGCAAGTGTCACCTTGCCTTGGGCACAGAAGTCCCTTAACTCTTCTGAAAGCAGAACGGGTTGTCTTCTGAACTTCTGTGGAAAAGGGATGTTGAGGGACGTTTTCTACCCCTTTTAGATATGAGCAGCCAGAATTACTGGAGTTAGATGAAGGACCATTGCTGAAACTCACGGCTCTGTCTAATAGCCAGGAGCAATTCAGTGCTCTGACATTGATTATTTACCATTTTCCCATGTTATACGCTGTATTTGGTCATGTTCGGTAACTCTGTAGTAATCAGACAAGATGGAACGGCAGCTTGTCAGCTGATTTAATTAAAACCACATTGCTTTTTTTTTATTGCCTCTCACACATCATTAATATTCTGTCTAAGACGCGCCTGCAATCTTAAGATTGGAATCAGTCTCATTGTGGTATTTCCAAGCTTGAATTACCAGACACCCAAACCTGGGCAAGAGATTTCACGTTTTTTTTACACTGAAATGGACCAGTCATTGGTCCAAATAAATGCTTATTAAGAGACCAGTATTTCAAGTTGCTTTTAAATGCAGTGCAGGCTTTGCTTCCATGGATATGAGTGGGAATAGAACATATTTAGGATTTCCCAGGAATTAGGTCTTTGCTTTGCAGATTCCTGTTCATTCAAAGGCTTGGTTATGCAAATATATTAAAAAGACTTAAGTAAATAACACTGCATCCTTTTTACTTTAGTTTATTATTTACATGTTTAGCAACAGTGTTGCACCGTCCCTTTTCTGGAATGCCAGGTTAAGATCTATTTCACAGTGACAGCCTATCAGTCAGCATATGCACTCCATTAACAACCAAATTACCAGGAAAAAAAATCTAGCATTTTAAATTATATATAGCAGTTTATTTAAATAGCGATTAGCTTTCATCAACAGTTTGTGCATTTTTGTTTTCTTTAAGAAACCCTGCCACTCTCAACCACAGCTGCAGCCCTCCTGGAGCACTGTGTTACTCAGTGACTCGAACTGAGCTTTGCAAATACTTTCGCAGCCAATTACCATACAGGTTTCTTATGTTCAAATTAAGGCAACTGGAGTCAATAACCACTGCTGAATGAAGGTAAAAGCTTGAGAACATTTTGCATAACAGTCATCAGTGTAGCTGATAGCTATTACAGTGTTCTTGTGCAGTAAGCCTACGCAGATACTATCTCCCTTGTCTGTCTGTTCCAACATGCATCTTGTCTCATTTGCAACCCTTTTCTTTAATTAGCTGAAGCCTTTGCTTTAGTCTTTCATATGTCAACCAGCCTGTGTACACTGCTATATTTTTAATCAGTAGCCTGTTGTCTTTACTTTGTCATTCATGCTAGCATATAAATCTGCCCTTCTTATGATCCTCACTGCTTGGTAGAAGTCAAAACATGCTGTTTAATTTTCCTGTTCACTGATTTCCATTTGTTTCATGTTCAAATGCTGGCTCTTTCCCCCCTTTTGGGCATGCTGTGAGCATTAAACTTAGTGATTAAATGCCAAAAAAGCAGTTCTTTTCCCCTTCCGCCCACGAAGGGGTCATCCTAACCCTTGCTCGGATGCTTACCTTAACAAAGTGCTCTGTGCATGTGCAGTCAGCCTAAATGGGGTGGCTGCATCGAACTTCCACAGGCTGGCACAGGTTAGCTAATGATGGCTAATAAAACAGGTGCAAAACTGATGTACTCTCCTAGGGGCGTGACTGACTTTTTGCTGCTTCTTTTCATTTTTATTTAAGCTACTATAGCAGAAGAGTTCATTTCACCAACAACACATTTGAATCCCAAGACAGCAAGACTTAAAAACAACCAGACCTAAAAGAGATGAGACGGTGGCATGTGGTTGTCCTCTTACTTTTAAATTTTCCGGTTGACTGGGGGGGAATCCGAGGCTGTTTGTGGTGGTCTGACAGGTGGGGTGGCTGGCCCTGACATATGTGCCCCTGGCTGATCCCCAAGCTGAGCCTGGAGCGTATTCAGGATGTCATCTAGCTTCTGGTCCATCTGCATGACCTGTTAAGGAATTAGAAAGCAGCTGAGCTGTCAAATGGTTGCACATGCTTCTCGTGAAAGACATTCACTGATGAAAAGCTCTGGGGAGATAAACCCTGGCAGTGGGCATTGGCATCTTTGGGCCCGGAGCACCAAAAGCTCCTTCAGTTTTGTAAGGCTCCTTGCTTTAGGCTAGTGGCAAGGTCAAAGAGTGCTTTGAAGTCACCAGGAAGGGTGTAAAACACTGCTAAGTGGCTGCAGAAGGACAAGAGGTTGGTGGCCCCAGCATTTGACCACTGGAGTCAGCCATTTCATCTCTCAGCATTTTCCCAGCATTGCCAGCTTCTCTCAGTGATGATGCATCCTGAAAACATCTGCCCCGAAACTCTATTTCACTCTTTGGTTTATCATGAGTATTTTTTCCCACTACCTCTCCCAAAACTTCACCACCCTCAGCTTTAGGACATCATGCTTTCCATTACTGTCTTGGGAAACTAAACACCTCCCCTCCCTTCACACTGTAAATAAATGCCTCTGTGATACATGTTGTTGTCAGAGATCCTACCAGATACGATGTTTATTCCCATGCATTGTTAGAAGGATGGTCTACTAAAAACAACATAATAATACCAATGACTTCATTAGAAAAGGAACAACTTTTCTATAAGCAGCTTGACATACTTCTCTCTCCTTTCATTGTATTGCTTTCCAGCTGAAATTTCTCATGCATAGTCTCTAGATAGAAAAGTATTATTACTATTATTATTAGTATTAGTATTAGTATTATTTTGTTTTGGTTGGTCTGGTTTTTTTAAGGAAGGAAAGGCAAATTTGGATTGTTAAAGCTAAGGCACTCTCATATTTCCTATCACTTTTAACAAATCCTGACCTCTATCTAGGAAGCCCAAACAGGCATTATTCCATTGTTGTAATAGGGCTTGCACTTGCTGCAAAATGGCATCCTGTTCACCTCTGTGCCAGCTAGGAGGACAGGTTGCTGAATGTTGACTGCTCTAGTTTGCTCTCAAGGCAAAGATGTGGTCAGCAACATGTAAGCAACTGGGATTGCTCATAATAACGCTTGAATACAGAGCAGCTTTGTGTAACAGATGAGCCCAAGAAAAATGAGTATTTTTAAGAACATTGGATGGATTGCTTTTCAGTTATCTGCTGTGAAACTCTGAGCCTCTGAAAACTCTGATCTGTCCCAGTGGGTCTAATAAACTTTGATAGCAAACCTTTTAAAGTGATATCAGATCTAAACTGAGCTTTCATTAAAGAGAGAGAGAGGGAGAGAGAAGGTTTCTAGCCTTTTTCTGTGCAAAGATAACTTTGGAAATAACTAGTGGCAGCATGGACTGAAAGTTTAGCAGGCTGAGATTGCTTTAAAAAACAAGGCAAAGAAAATCACCTTATCCGCTTTCCCCTCCTCTGCCTTTTCTCACTCCAAATGTCTGCTCCCCTGAGGCCCCCTCAAACCTTAAGGTACCAGGAGTTTATTTAAGCTATATCATTTTGGCAACCGGTATTCTCTCCTGTATACAACCTGCTGCCAGCTGAGGAAAGGAGGAGTGGTGTACTTCTCCTACCTCATGAGGGGAAACACATGTGCTTGTCTCTCTTTCAAAAATTTTTCTTTCCTCTCTTGAAAACAGGATTTCAATCTTGTTCTCATGACTGCTGTGTTCTAGCAGAAAAGTCCCTCACCTTGCTTCTGATTTGGTGTGGATCACCTCACTATGGGGGTTATCTCAGGAAGTATTTGCAAGCAATGAAGAGGAATTATTTATGGCATGGGTTAGACAGTGTAGCCTTTCACTGAGATTTCTGCCCACGTACTTTTGGCTACATTCAGGGTAGAGTGGGCACTGTCTGTGTGGTGACAAGGGCAGGGAGGGCAATGTATGCACATGTGGGAGAACTGGGGCTATTTCCTACAGCACCGGCTGTGTGCGTGGCCGTTGGTGCCAGTCCCGGCGTATGATTAGTCACAGTCTAAAAGCGACTCATATATATATATTCACAGTCTTTGGTTCAGAGCAACAGACCCCTGCAGAGGCTCTAACTGGCAGAGGTCCAGTCGCCTCCTGGCCAGCATGACCTTACACCAGTAGTGGCAACTGGCTTTTCCCTTGTCTAATGAGCTATGAAGGTGAGCGTGGGTGAGGTTGTTGTGGCAGCTTGCTCTCTCTCTCTAATGCGGTCACTGACAGAAGCGGTCCTTTTCTCATTTCTTGGTCCTACATCAGTGAAATGGCATGGAGGCATTGCACCTGCCTCATTTTTCTCCCCCTTGCTGCCATTTTCTCTTTTTCTAAACTATTCTGCTTACCTCCTGACATCATCAAAGATGTTCATTGAAGAGTGGGGTTTGGCTTAGAGCAAAAAAAAGCAGCAATCACAGAAGCTCCTTTCTTGAACAGCCCTCTCTTGAAGGAGTATGACACCATAGTGCTAGACATATGTGTGAGGTGTTTTGGATGTATGGAGAAAGGCAGAACAACTGCTTATTCTGCTAAACATTAACTTGGCTGGAAATCTGGAAGTCACTAGTGGTTGAAGGGTTAAGTAGCATGGAACTAATTTAAAAACCACAGCCTCCATTCTTGAAAAGCCTGTTTGCCTGATGCTGGTAATGACTCAACAGAATCTTTCTTAAGCAGAAATGTTGTACAGAGCAGAAACTAAAGCAGAACTAATACATTACAGTAAAGTAAAAGAGGTGTAGGCAGGGAAATGGGATTAGACAGACGAAAGATCTCTTCAGGCTTTCTTTTGTGAGGCTTTGTTGATTTTGATCCTCACGCTTGATCTTAGATAAGTTATGACTACATATTCCATATCATTTAAACTTGCTGTATTTCTCTCTATATTTTGTTAACTCAGTGAAAGAATGTAATAGGGAATAGTTTTATACACTTTTTTTTCCAGGAGAGGAGAGGGGTGGAGAATGTAAATATTCATTTGTAGAGAGGCAAAAAGGAAAACACGTACACAAGGGAGTAGATGGGACATTATGCACTTTGGTCATGCCTTCCACATGGGGATCTGCAAATGCTTTCTGAACGTTAACAAATGAAGTTGCGCAGTTCTTCTGTTTCAGCTAGACACCCAGGAGCATTTTAATGTTCGTTTTTGAGATTAGAAGTAGAACCCTACAAAATTAAGTGACCCATACGAAGTGGCAGATCTCTTCTAATTCTTAGCTTTCTCTTTCACATACAAGATCAAGACACCACTTTCTAGCTTCAGATACTTTACCATACGTCTAACTTCAAACATGCAACTAACCTGGTAAACCTTTAGCTGGACAGACACATTCTTAAGTACCTCGTAGAATTAGAGCCTATATAAAAATGGTTCAAATTTGGAGGCTAGTTAACCATAATTAAAGGGTTAAAAAACAAGAGTTATGGAAACTTAAAGGCTGGACTGAAGTCAGGAGCATGACTTGCAGGTTTAAAGGACTTTTCACATGGATAAAGATTTTATAGAAGAAAGTCCTAATTTTATATTTATCTAAAATCATTTAAGCAGCTACTACATTCCTTAAGCCTTGTTGCACACAGGACAAGCTGTCAGTGTGGAATAACGTACCCAGGCAAGCACACAGGTAAAGGGTTAAATTTTGCAACATGTTTCTCAGCTGAGTAAAGTGAGAAGCCATCCCGGCCAGCCACAGAGTTTCCAGAGAGATGTGATATGCCCCTCACAGGCTCCTTGGAGACAGGTGAGTTTGGCAGCTGTCCACAGGCAAATGGCAACAAAACTTCTGTTCTCCCACATCACAAAAGAGCTCTAGAGACAATCTATAAAATTGTTAAAATGCTTTTATATCCTTTCAACTGCCCTGCAGAAAGGAGACAGCAAAAGCAGTTTAAAATATTACTCTGTAGTTATTGGGGCTACGAGGTGAGCTGAAGGAGTGTTGAAATGTATATTCTTTTTAACATCCCCTGTAGAAAGGGGCTGGATCCCATGGTGACATGCAGAGCTGTTACACAAAGAAAATGGCTTGAAACCAGCCCCAGTGAGTCACAGCAAGCCATGAAGGGGACCTGGGTCAGGCAACCATTGGGACCCAGCATGTCCCTGCTCTTAACCATGAGCACCAGCTTTGCTTTCAGTATTTGGTATTTGTGGTTGCTTTTAAGCCTGTATTTGTGAAAGGTGGTGCCCAGCCCCTTATTTAAATACCTCATTTTAACTCAGTGAGTACCTGTTGCAAAAATCCCTCGTGGAGAATGGGACCCAAAGGATGGCAGCAGCATGGAGAACTGGATCATCATTGTCCTATGGATTTGCCACAGGGTGGCAGATTCCCAAATCCCCTGAGAGCTTTTTGACATGTTTTTGCACGCGCATGCTATAAACAAAATGCACGTGTGGAAACCTCAGTTGGAGTAGCCACATGATCTCTCCCAAACCCTCTTTAACCAAGCCCCCCCCCCCCCACCCCCCGGTTGTATCTTTCTGTTTAATATTATTTCTGGAGGCTGGGAAAGCCAGCATCAATTACGTGCACAACACACTGACTTGAACTGTTTCCAGAGGAGTAGCAGAAGGAAAGATGGTCTGGAGGGCTGATGTAAATCTGTAAACCCACAAACATGCTCATCTGTTGCTAAGTAGGTGGAGCTTTGTATCAAAAACTAGACCTCATAAAGCAAATAAAGTTGCTGTCCCCTCCTTGAGGCTGGACTCTCTCCCTGCCTGTAGTGATTCTACATGAACTGATCCAAATGGCTGAACTGCACAGCCTTCGTGCAGTTGTCTGACACATGCCTAGAGTGCTGGTACAAGGGTGCAGCACGAAATGGAGGAGGGAGAGAAGATAGTCCGATTTCTGTTGCCAGCCAAAAAATGTCACAGAGTAACAGCGAGTTCTGATTTTGGTTAAGCTGGATTGACTTTGGCTTCCTGCTTGCCTAAGAACTTGAGTGGGGAAAACTATGGAGCTGTGTCCACAAGGACACAAAGGTGTCATGGCTGGGATGAAGGACTGGAAGAGACTGCTAAAT